CCAGGGAGCGGGGGGGGGAGGTCATTGGGGGGAAAAGGAGACATATGTAATACTATATGTAATACTTTAAACGATAAAGAATTAATAAAAAATAAAAAAAGAAACTAAGTTTACCAAATTTCAGTTTAAATAATAAATCATGGTGACCATGAAGAATAATATGACTTTTAACAACTTTACTGTTAGCCAATTAATTCACAATTACAAATAAAGCATTTTTTTGTACTTACAGAGTATGTTAAAGGGCTTTGCCTGCCTCCCTGCCTCTGGGTTCAGTCGTCCATTACACTAAGTAAGGGTCCTCAACTTCTGGTTTGCATCCAAAAAGTGAGTGTAAGATTTAATTTCCTTCAAACTCCATTTTCTGGACTCATCAGTTTTACCTTTAAATCAGCAGCTCAGATTATATGAGCAGATCAGTTCTATGTTGAGGTTAATGATTTGAAAACTGTACCTTTCCATAGAAATAGAGATTTAAAATTTTTTAATATATCTTTTAAAATAAAGATTAAGTTCTCTGGGATAAAGGAAATAAACATTTTCAACTCTCCATTCTTTAAAGCTGTAGTTACCACTAGCTACAATGTTGCTACTGAATTTAAATTAAAGTTAAATAAAATTAAAATTCAGTTCCTCAGTCACACTAGCCACATGTCAGGTGCTCAATAGCCACATGTGGCTGGTGGCAATGGTTTCCAACATTCAGACACAGAGCGTTCCACCATCGCAGAACGTTCATCCAGTCATGCTGTGGAGATTCATTCCACAGTCGTTGTTCCACATGGACCAATTTTACTTTAATGAAAAGCTAATATTTATACAAGATGAGATTTACACAGTCTATATATATAAAAGCTTAAGGAACCAAACAACCGATCAACCAGTTGCTATGATGCGCACTGACCACCAGGGGGCAGACGCTCAATGCAGGAGCTGTCCCCTGGTGGTCAGTGTGCTCCCACAGCGGGAGCGCCGCTCAGCTGACTGATAGGCTCTAGACGCTGGACTCACAGCTGAGGAGCACCGCTGCTGTGGTGGTGGCATGAGCCTCTCCCCATCGGGACTGACTGGGCGAGAGCCTGTGGCAGGCGCAGCGGGGCCAGGATGAGCAGGAAGGGCAGGCAGGAACAGCAGGCGGCGGTGGACTGCCAGTTTCGGCCGATCCCCATAGGCCAGGGGTGGGCAAACTTTTTGACTCGAGGGCCACAATGGGTTCTTAAACTGGACCGGAGGGCCGGAACAAAAGCATGGATGGAGTGTTTGTGTGAACTAATAAAAATTCAAAGTAAACATCATTACATAAAAGGGTACGGTCTTTTTTTTTTAGTTTTATTCATTTCAAACGGGCCGGATCCGGCCCGCAGGCCGTAGTTTGCCCACGGCTGCCATAGGCCATGACAAGGAACCCTACCAGTGCACGAATCCATGTACCGAACCTCTAGTACGTATACACTAGGCCAGTGATGGGCAAACTGCGGCTCAGCAAACCACGGCTCGCGAGCCACATGTGGCTCTTTGGCCCCTTGAGTGTGGCTCTTCCACAAAATACTGTCTCTTCCACAAAATACCGACTTCTGTGCATGGGCCACGAAGTTTCAATCGCACTGTACGTGCTTGCCCGCACGTGGTATTTTGTAGAAGAGCCACACTCAAGGGGCCAAAAAGCCGCATGTAGCTCGTGAGCCGCGGTTTGTCGACCACGGCACTAGGCTAACAGACTTGTCAAAGCATTTAAAAACTTCATATGCAGAACATGCAGTTACTTGGTAAGCTTGATTTTTCACAACCATCTTTTTCAAATCCCTTCCAATTTGACAGCTTAGAAACATACTACTAAGTTTTAAAATTGTTTTATTCTTAATATGTAGCACAGTGAATCAAAGCATCATGTTTTACTGAGTAATTAGTCCTTCAATAATTCACATGAGTAATAGGTCATTTTGGGGTTTAACCCCTGCTTCCATTATTTCTGACCACACGGCCCGCTGACAGATGTCTCACTTTGGACGTACACAACAGACGACTGGATCTGTTTCACGTACATCTGTTCCCCAACAGCTTAGGCAGATTAGTGCTTAGAATGCACCCAGCTCTGCTAAGTCCCACATAATCACTAATTCTTGTTGTTTTAAAATTGATTGCTTTTCTCATTTTCACATTTTTCCACATCGCCTTTCACGTTGCTAAGTTTCCAGCAAATAAATGTTTATATAAACTTAAAGCACAAGAGAACCAATTTAACTCTCTTCTCAAAGAAACACTGCCAAGACCTCATGTTGCAGTGCAGCTCCCTCAGATTTTCTAGTTGCTGCTCTAAGTCAGCTGAGCTCAGAGTCGTGGCAGGAATAACCCTTTGAAAAAAACATTAGGTGAAATTGTGTAACCTGAGGTAGTAAGTCTATGAAAAAGAGAGACTTAAAACCATAGTTAAGATTTGAAACCCACATTTTATTTTTAGAAATATTTAAAACATTATATTCAAATGCTAAGCAAACATAAAATCCTTACTCTGAGATCTGATTAGAGGGCACAGGAAATGAAATAGCAGGAAGAAAGGATAAGCTAGTCCTTTTGTCCATTATGAAAAATCTGCTTATGTCTGGCCTTGACCGACAACTGTCTGTAGATAATGGTTTCTTCCTTCCCAAAGACAGGACCTGTACTGAGGCGATGGCTCACCTCTCACCGTTATGCCCTGGAGCTGGGGAAGGGGAGCAAGGGGCTTGGCTCATATTTCTCATGTGGGTCTTCTAATTAGAAATTCATTAGGGCTGTGAAGCTCCGGCTGTAAAATGCAACACTCTTCCACACACAGCAGACGGTGGACCCCACTGATCACGCAAACCCTACTCAGGCTTCCTTAATCTATGAAGCTATCCATCCTAACACTTCAAGTCTATAAAAACGGGATTCTCTTTACAATGCAACTTCAGAGCTGATGCTTCTTGGAGACCACATCCTACAAATGCCTCATTTTGCAGGTGAAGAAACCGTAACTCAGAGATGGTAAATGACTTGCCCAAAGTCAGTCACGCCCCTGTGAGTGCGGAGACAAAACCTCGGGTCCTTTGGTGCCCACTCCTGAAACCTTTCCTACACCACAGATGAGAGCACATTACAGACGGCTGGAGGAGGAAGCCTAGAAAGACCCTATAGTGCTTCAGGGTCTACTTTAGGGTGCTTTCCATTAGTAAATGACAAAGTTCCCAGTGTGAGATAGGAGAGAGAAGGGGAGGAGGGAGAGGGGAGGGGGACGGGCATTTGGCATTCCTGTCAGAGATCCCTAAAATTGACCATTCTTAATTAAATGTACAAAAATATGAGTTTAATACAATCCAGTCCTACCCATTACTAACTCTCCCCATCAGTAGTTTTTCGGGAAACAGATAAGAACATTATAATCCAGATTCTGCTTTGGGGAGGCACAAAAATCCTGTATTTTTCTATTTCAATCTAACATTTCAGGTAGAAGCTTACCACTTGGTAAGCACATGTTCCTAGAAGTTTGTCCTTGGTTGAGATTTGGAATAATGCCAACAAGCAATCGGTGATGCCCTGAAATCATTTAACACTGAAAAGATCTGATTCAGTTACAGCACAAGCCGAGGGCTAAATTAGAAACCGGGCAAACTGGTCTATGGCATCCACTCATGTTCTCTTTCTGAGCTCTCTTCTCAATGTCTGACACCTTACGCCCAGTCCCGGGCACTCTTCTGAGGGCTACCCACACCGTGGCATTACTCCTGACCAGCTCTGCCTGGGCAGGGGCTCATCATCCAGTCTTGCCTACCTTTCTCATTTGGACTCAAAGAGCTAGCCTGATCCCTCTTCCATTTCTTTAGGATGTTGCTTCCTGCGAGCTCACAGACAGCTAACTTGGTAATTACTTTATAGTAAGATGAAAAAACATATTCCACAAGAAAAATGGCTTTTACACCTCCCATCCTGACTTACAGGCTGTCCTTCACAGTCCTCACTTCTATGGGGATGGGCAACACAGCCATTATTCCACGTCACCCTTGAACTCAATGAAAAGAAGTACAGTGCCCTGTACGGTTTTGCCAAGCGGTTAGAGCATCAACCTGTGCACCAAAGGTTCTCAGGTTTGAATCCCAATCAAGTTCCATCCCAGGCCCCGGTCGGGGCTCCTGCAGGAGGGAACCAATTGATGTCTCTCTCTCACATCAATGTCTCTCTCTCTCTCTCTCTCTCTCTCTCTCTCTCTTTCTCTCTCTCTCTTTCACTCTCTCTAAAAATCAATGAAAAAATATCCTCAGGTGAGGATTTTTAAAAAGTGAACTGTAATGTCTATAAACTCTGGGTGATGATGATGCATCGGTGTAAATTCATCATTTGTAACATACAAACCTGTCTGGTGGGAAGCACTGATAACGGGGCAGGCTGTATATGTACGGGGACAGAAGCATGTGGTAAATTGTTGCCCAATTTTGCTGTGAACCTAAAACTGCTCTAAAAATAAAGTCTATTGAAAAAAACAACTACTAAGGTACCATGAGGTTTAAAAACAGTGATCTCAGAAAACATCTCCTATGTGTGATCTAATAATGCTCAGTGACCCCTCCCTCACCCTTTCCTGGAACAGCCAGTCACTAGCCAACTTGGAATGGACATGGGCACCCCGCCCCCTTCACTCTCCCATACCACGTCCTCATGAGTACAGTAGCCTTATGTAGTTTTTCCTCCAGTTTCTGGACCGATTTCATTTGTCCTTTGCTTACTCACATGTAGTAAACTAATTCAACATCAGGCACTATTTCTCATATTAAACATCTCTTAATACCTCCTTTTCTTTTCCCTATCTTATGTTACTAAGTAGAGCATCTCCTGGTTTCTCCTATAAATAGAAATACTAAGGTGCTTCTGTACCTTCGAATTTAGGGGCCCAATGTGTTCTGCATACTAGGTGTTAGTTACAAAGAAAAAGTGGGACATCTAGATGAAGGAAAAGAAAACCAGAGGGTTTTAGGGGCCCTGGCTGGTTTGGCTCAGTGGATAGAGGGTCAGCCTTCGGACTGAAGGGGCCCAGGTTCGATTCCAGCCGGGGGCATATGCCTGGGTTGCGGGCTCGATCCCCAATGCGGGGCATGCAGGAGGCAGCCGATCAATGATTCTCTCTCATCATTGATGTTTCTATCTCTCTCTCCCTCTTCCTTCCTCTCTGAAATCAATAAAATATATTTTTTAAAAAGAGTTGCAACCTTTAGAGTTGTAACTGTCAAGATGCCTTTTTAAATGCTACCAACAGTAATGCTAATTAAGCCTACTTTTCTTCAATCACCACTCAATAGAAAATAACATTTCTTTTTCACGTCATTATTTGCCTTTGTTTACCAGAATTGCAATATTAATTTGTACAACAATTCGTTGCATCTTTCATTTTAATTCTATCAAATTTCAGCTTCATTGTAGTATAAGTGGCTCTTGTAGACTAACCTAAACTCTAATTGTGAACTTCTATATCCCCCAAATTCAAACTGACTTGAAAACTAAGCAGAACGATTCTGTCCATACTAGATTTTAACTCAAAAGTGCAAGAAGATATTCTACCTTGGTGTTCAAAACACCGGAAAACATTTAAATTAAGGTCAAGGTGGTTTTAGTGACGTGAGCATGGCCAGTGGTTCTCAACCTTCCTAATGCCGAGACCCTTTAATACAGTTCCTCATGTTGTGGTGACCCCCAACCATAAAATTATTTTCGTTGCTACTTCATAACTGTAATTTTGCTACTGTTATGAATCGTAATGTAAATATCTGATATGCAGGATGTATTTAGGCGACCCCTGTGAAAGGGTCGTTTGACCCCCAAAGGGGTCGCGACCCACAGGTTGAGAATCGCTGGCTTATACAGAAGCTGAATTCACACTCATGGCCAGTGCTGGGTCCCTAGCTCAGCCACTTCATTTTGTTAGACTTTTGTGCATGAAATTTTTAAATAGTGTTGTTTTTCTACTCGGTAATATAAATAGTACACTGTGTCTTGTTTTCCAACAGGGGAGGCCATTTATAATTTCATACGTTTGTATTTAACTAGAAGAGGCTGTACCACATCCCGAGGGTTTTCTCTAAACCATCTCTAGACTCAGACTTGAAATATTTCTGTTGCAAAATACAGCACTATAACACGTTCTAAATAGCTCAAGTTTCGAGTCAATAAAAGTCAAATGCAAGTACACAGCATGCTGATGATTCTAAAGTGAGCCTTAAAAATCAAAAGTTTCCAGACTGAGCCTGAAGAAGGCTGGACTCCAGACAGTGGCAGGGGGATGTGAAGGATGGAAAAGTCCAGAGACTCCAAAGCCCGAGGTTAAACTCTCGGAAGTCAGCAAAGGGACCGTTGCACTCAGAACCCGCGTGGAGGGACGCCCGTAAACGGCTCACACTTGCAGAGCGCGGCCAGAAACTGACACTAAAACTCCATTGCCTGCGCGGGGAGGACTGACCTTCCCGCCTTAGAAAGCACCACCCCTTTGCCCTTGGGGGTTCAGTTCTTTCCTCTTCGGCGCCGAGCAGAAGCTGCGTGTGACGCTGGCCGGGGAATGCACCACCCGGGAAAGCCTGGCAAGAGGCGGCCAGTAGCCCAGGCCCCAGGGAATGGCTCGGGTTCCCCCCAACTGGCTGAAAAGACGCCGCAGCCCGCGGGGCGGAGGAGGAGCTTAGGGAGGAGGAGAGGCAGCGTCCCTGCGGCGTGTGCAAGGGAGGGGGGGAGAGGAGGAGAGGGAAGAAAGGGAGCGGGCAGCAGTAGGAGGCGAAGGCTCGGACCCGCACACTCACCCCCGGGGCGCTCGGGCTGAATGGGCCGCCACCTCAGAGCCCGCTCGCTCGGGAGGACGCCGCAGCCCGCCGGGCGGAGGAGGAGCTTAGGGAGGAGGAGAGGCAGCGCCCCGGCGGCGTGTGCAAGGGAGGGGGTGGG